TGTAGCCCTGTAGCCCATCATTGTTGAGTGGCTTCTTAGTTTTTGGAGTTGTAGTGCTAAGTAAGTTATTCTGATGACTACATTTTAACTTTTATTAACAAACTAATGATGCTAGAGATTCTCTGATCTTTTTGGTTGCGGAATTTTTATGAAAACCCTCCTATGTGTGACATGATGTGATATTGGATAATTCTCAAGATTCCCAAAATTCAATATCAAGTAGGTTTTCTTTCACATTGCTTAAATTTGGTTTAGTTTTTGTATTTTCCCAGTGGGTTTTGTTTGCATCAGTTTCCAAATTTTCTTAAATTGACATTAGTCGCAAAACCCATAGTGCACAAAGCTCTTGGCCCGGCCCGTCCATAGCCCGTTAACTAATGATATTTGGGGGCCCGGCCCAGCCCGTAGCCCAGCCCGGCCCGTGGCCCGTTGGGCTGGCCCGGCCCGTGGCGAACACTGATTGTAACCACAAATAAGAGCTCATGACTCAAGTCTCAACTTGTCCATAATTGGTTATCTTGATGTATACTTGTAGACCCTTCCTCTTACTTGGCACACAGGCATGGTGTCACAGTGTTCTAAAATTGGATTTCAATTGGGTGTCCCAATAAAAAAAAATCTGAAGACAAAATGAGATAGATTTAGTCTTTCCGCAAAACTGCATAATGCCATTTTTTACCTCAGATTTTGTCAGAACCTTCAAAGGATCTGAAATGAAATGATGTAGAGTAGATGCATCAACTGTCAAGTCATGCGTAACCTGGCAGCTGGCTGTTGAATCAAACTTTTGACATATTTTTTTAGCAAAGATGAAATAAAGCCACTTGTCATATTTTTAGGATGAAAATATTTTCCCCATCATGTGTGGTTATTCACCTAAAATTCTGAAACATGGAACACTGTCATACCAGCATTCCATCATGTCAACCAGCATTCCGCAGCATGTTAGCAGAAGCAGCAGCATGTTATAAGTATATGAAAGATCCAAATAGGTTGTAGGTTGGTAGGTATTGGTACTAAGTTTAACTTAATAGGTTAGTAGGCAAGGTTAGGATTAATTTTAGTTGAGCATCAAGATAACCATTACGAACAAGTAACAAAATCCTTACCTACCCTTGAAAGTATTGCTTCAATCACATCATCACGAAGAACCAGACAAAAATTTTGCACATTCTTACACTATTTGACATCCTGAATCCAGATATGATGCTTTCATGTGGCGCAAAAACAAGAAAAACGAATAATCAAACCCGTGCGTATTCGTATCAACGGCGCCACAATTGTAGATCAGACCTTTTCTGAACAAATGCCACCACAATTTTAATTGATAAGGGATTAAAATGGCATGAGCATCAACATCTTGATTTTTTCTAAAAGATAGCGATAACTGATAACTAATAACTTACCATTCATTTTGAAATCACGGCGGTAGGTACACCAACACATGGCACTGAAAACAGCAAAAGACGGAATGGCGGAATGTCGTATGGAGCCCTAAAACGCAGCTCGAATTGAGCCCGAAAAGGAAGACGAACTGATGCCGCTTTCGGGGCTAATGTACTTTGAGCCCGAAAAGGGCGCCTAACTGATCCCGATTTTAAAATCATACAGATTTGAGCCCTGTTTTGGCACTCATATGAGCCCTTATTCAAAAATGTTCTCAAAGTGTTTTCTGAGTGAATAGTCCAATACTTGGTAGAAGGAATGAAGCTACCCTACAAAAAATACCGCATGTAAATCGGTCAAGTGGTTGCTGAGATATAAGCGTCGCAGAATCGTGACCGGCCGGCCGCTCATACTCAGAAATTTCCGTTATTCTACTACTCCGTTCCGTACTACTTCCGTTATTCTATTCTACGACTCCGCTCGCTTCGCTCGCTCCGTAACTAACTAATTTAACCACTCGATCGATCCAAACTCTTTTGTGCTTGCAGCTATGTGCATATTTACAGCGGAACCGTAATTTATCTTGTTGGGCCTCCATGCATAATTGACAACAGATCGGAATATATCTGAGGAAGCCTACCATCTGTGTAAGGCTATGCCGAGATTTTATTCATAAAACAATACGTCTATAAGTTGTTTTACTGAATTATTACGGAGCGAGCGAAGCGAGCGGAGTCTCATACTGAATTAAGGGAAAATCCTGAGTATGAGCGGCCGGCCGGCCGGCCGGCCGGCCGTGGGGACGCTCTTCAAAAGCTAATATCTTAGGAACGGGACATCCGATTGACAAGCGGTCTTCTTTACTGAATGTCACTTGGACGTAAAAGTTCTGTGGTGTGATGGCCACCATGCGTTCTTGCCAGCCACCGCACGTGGCGCGTGGCAAAGTTGGACATTTTTAAGAACCCCCAAAATTGCAACCTCAATAACGGCACAACGGTTGGGCCGATTGAATTGAAACTCGGTACACAGTTAGGTCTCCATCAGATAATTCATCTGCATGTGTTAAGGTTGGGATGCTACAGCACGTGCGCACGTGCAGGGGGCGCTCCCAGATCTCGAGAACGGCTGGGCCGATTGCGCTCAAATTTGGTACACGGTTGGGGACCAGTTAGTAGGGTGCCGTGCAAAAGTCAGTTTGGACCCCGCTTGCACGTGCGCACGTGCAGTGTGCCGCTTCCAGATCTCGAGAACGGCTAGGCCGATTGCGCTGAAATTTGGCACATCACTAAAGACCGGTTAGTAGGGTGCAGTGCACAAGTTAGTTGGAGGTACCCCGTCGCAATTTCGCACGTGCAAACTGCAAGGCCCATCCTCTCGCTCGCTCCGTTGGTCGCCCAAAAGGCGTTTTACTGGTATGTCTAAATAAGAAATTAATGTTCAAGTCATCTGCTATTAGAAATTTTACCAACCAAATTTTACTATTTGTGATTCGTGTTTAGACAAAGACGTTTGGAAATTAAAAATGATCCGCATTCGGGATACTTTAAAACAACCGAAACATAATTATCTGGAATATTACAATGGTTTACCGATTAGCCTAGTGCTGAACTAGGATTTCGCAACTCAAAGAAACTGAAGTTGGTATTTTTTACCACTGAGGTCACCGAATATACACGTAATTGAATTAAACGTTTATGTACAAAAAGAAAATTTCACTAATGAAGAAAAGATAATTGACATTCATCCGCGTTTCTGTCATTTTATATTAACCTTCCAGGCGGTGGGGGGGGGGCAATTTTTTGCCCCCCCTTTACTTTTTTCGATATATCTCGAGAACCGCTGCGCCGATCGTCACCAAACTTTCAGTACCCTCCCGGGAGCAGCTAGCGCACATGGTGACCAAAAATTTTTCCAAAGGCTATGATAGGTTGGCCGCTAATGACGTAAGAGTGACGTCATTTTTGCCATTTTCGACCCAAAAAAAGGTTTCGCGGGAAGAGCTGTCAGGCCTACAGCTTTAGAGATACAGAAAAATGTTTTTTACATAAAAGGTGTGGAATCAAAAGGGCTACAAAACTGCTATTTCGGTTTTTCGAATTTTTTGGATTTTGACCCCCAAAAATCAAAAAATAGATTTTTTGAATATAATAGCCAAAAAATCCAAAAAGTTTTTTGAATTTCGAAAAAACCGGAATATATATGATAGTCCCTACCGCCTTCTATCTACATACCAAATTTGAGATCGATACCTCGTTTTTTGGCCAAGTTATAGCGAAAAAACTGTTCAAAATTGATGACGTCAAATTTTCAAACTCAATTTTTAGCAATTCTAGACCTCGTAGCGCAAAACAAAGACCACCATTAGACTCCCCGTGACGAGCTGCATCGAATCGATACCCATTTTGTGCAAAAATATCAACTTTGAAATTTGACCTTTTTTGACCTGACCTTGACCTGACCTCCACCAGAAAGTGACCTAAACCGTACCTGATGCTCTTATTACCAACACCATTGAGTTGGAAATGAAAAACTGGCCATAAAACATGCATCACATAACCTTAGTAAAGTTGGGCTCATGTGGTGACCCTTGGTGACCTTTGGTGACCTGACCTGTGACCTGACCTGGTATGACCAGTAACCTCTAATAGCAACATATGTACTAGACAACTGACGCCTTATCGCTGATTTTCGACAAAATGCGTTTTGCTCGGTGTTATAGCGCTTTCCCTAGAAGCCCTGTGAACGGTGAAACATTTTATCTTTGACCTGACCTGTGACGTCATCGGTGACCCCGAGGTCAATGAAATTTGGTTTCCCTCGACAAATTTGACAGGGCTATCGAACGCCGTTTGAATTTTTCGGATCCGTCCAGTAGTTTCGGAGATACGGGGGGGGGGGCAAAAAAGTGCCCCCCCCCCCCCCACCGCGTGGAAGGTGGCTGGTAGGCCCACCGCCTGCCGGGTTAATACCCTCCAGACGAAACCGTTCAGTTATCTAGCATTGAACGTGCACATGTCACATAGCAACAGCAGCCACCCGACCATGCGGCTCCCACCGCATTTTTTATCTATTTGACAACGTGATCACGTTTTGATGTGGGTAATCACATGACGTCACAGCACCTTCGCGTGGCTACAGTACACGGGGATAAGTTGGCGAGTGGGCGAATAAAAGCCGATTTTTCTGACTGTGGCCAGACCTGATTGGTAATTGTAACTCTGGCACCATCGGTAGCATCGTGTCGGATGGAATTATTGAGCTGGTGACCTCACGACACTTATGGCTAGAAACTTTGGGGACGCGTGGCTCAGAGTTCCCGATGTGACACTGCGCAGCCGATGCTTCAATTTCTGTAATCACTGCACTGGTGAAACAAAGTAATGTTTCAGCTGAGGCGTGAGGCCTATCGGGAAACTTCTGATGAGTCCATATTGGGCAGGGAATTTCGGCATCGGGAAAGGTAATTTGATTCCACTTACGTCACTAGTCAATGGCCATTATTTCTTGAAATGTATTGAGTTTTATACTTTGCTGGGACACCCTTGTGCCAATACGAAGGACTGTGATACGGGAAATAATGTGGCTGACCTCTTTCTCTCCCACCATTCCAGTGACGGAACTGTCGCCACTGGCCGACCCTGCCGTCATGTCCCACACTCGGTGCAACGGCACGGGAAACTACTTCAGATGTTCGCCGCTTGAGTGCGTTCCAGTCAACCTGACCTGTGACGGTGTACCTCACTGCTCCAACAGCGCTGACGAGGCAGTGCCCCTCTGCGGTGAGTACTGAGAGTACTGTATTCGAGCTCTTATTCAATACACCTGTCATAGTTCGAGAGGTGTCCTAATTTTGTCAATTGTTCAGGATACAGTCTGCCCACTGCTGCGTTAATGCGCAGACAACGACCAACGCTCGTCTAAATTACCATCAGGATTTAGGGACCTGACTACGTAAGCCTCAATGTTGTTGACAAATCGATGAGGGACGGTGGTGTTAGCTCATAGATGAAGCTAAAAATGACGTCAATGTTACCAAACAAGAAAAAGTTACGTGATTAACACTGTTTGACGGTTTCACTCTTATTGCATCAGTCACCACACTAGAAAGACGCACCGAGATAAGAGCCAGGCACCGGGATTATTTGACATCAAAGTCCGAATTTGCAATTGAAAGTGCTTGAAAATGATTCATCTACCGCCGCCCGTGTCTCACTCTCATTACGGCTTGGTCTGGCTGTCATATTAGCACACAACAAGAATGATTTGCCAGGGATATGTCGTCTAAGAGGCAAGGGAAATGTCAAATATCAAGGCTTGCGATTTATTCGTTTGATTTATTCATTTATTGTACGTATTCATTAACTTTCCCATCAATATGAGGGCGGTGTCTATTGTAATGCATTCAATTATCCTTATTATTTATTTGATATGTGGTGAGTGCTGACTGCTGAGTGCTAAGTTGTTGATAATTAATTTCAGTAATTATTGTTTTCATCACTATAAAAAAAATAAATTTTAGCTATTGCTGCTGCATAAATATCTTACCTATCAGCACAAATCGCTTAGCTTGATGTAAAAAATACCACGGCGTGGCTTTCAAGTTAATTGAAAATATAAAGCAACTGTTTCATTTTGTGTTCCAAGCCATTGACATTTACTGCATTTATTGACGCCAGCGATCTATGTATTGACCATACAAGAAATCTGTTGCGTTGCTGAGAATTTGCACGTGTATGGAACATGATGACTCATGTCATTGTATCGCCGGAATAGCTGATGGTGACGAACTTTCCATCGTTTTCAGGCTGTCTGAGTAACGAATTTTCGTGCGGCGACTCGTGTATCGATCTGCTGAAGCGCTGTGACACGTTTGACGACTGCTCTGACGCCAGAGACGAACAACAGTGCGGTGAGTGAATCGGAATCCCAGATCACTATGGAAACATTGACACGAAACATATGAGCAAGGGCGCATTGCAGGCAAAACTTGTGTCGAGGATTTTTCGCAGATCCGTTTTGTTCTGTGTTTTTATTTGCTCGTTTATGTATCTTGGTAGCTTTTGTGAAGATGATTTTGTTTTAATTTATTTGTTACAAAGCCATCAATCTTTACTGATGAAGGTTAGTTCTGAAAAAATATGCTGTTATACCTCGGCAGCATTTTTATAAACAGCATTGATATATGAATTTGAGGTCGAGATGAGTATTGAGTGTCACATCATCCAATATCAGAATGCATGCATAGACCGCTGTACACCTCGTATACCTCTTCATTGCCTCGGTATACAGAGTTCTATGCAGCATACAAACAACTCACGCCAATATTGCGTAATTACGCAAACATCACACGGACAGCATATACCACCAAGTTTTGTATGGCATAGGAACGGCTCAGAACAGCGCATGAGCATATCACCAGCACACACGGAGGCACATATCGCTGCAGCACACGCGGACAGCACATGAGCCATGAGCCATCGCGTACCGTTTGCCGCCGGCGTATCACCCAAACAAATGGGTGTATGGGTAGCAGCTGGTGCGGTGCCACAGTTTCCATCCCACTTCAGCTGAGGCGATCTGTCTCCAATACCAGCAGCGGAGACAAAACAGGGAGACCGATGGGACATGAATGAAGGCAGGGGTCGATACAGAGACAGAGACAGAGACAGAGACAGAGACAGAGACAGAGACAGAGACAGAGACAGAGACAGAGACAGAGACAGAGACAGACAGAGACAGAGACAGGGACAGGGACAGGGACAAACAGGCAGAGACAGAGAAAGAGACAGAGACAAAGATAGAGACAGAGGCAGAGACAGAGGCAGATATAGAGATAAAGACAGAGACAGACAGACAGACAGACAGACAGACAGACAGACAGACAGACAGACAGACAGACAGACAGACAGACAGACAGACAGACAGACAGACAGACAGCATTGTATTAACATAGGCAAAGAACATAAGCACTTTGGCAAAGACAATAAGAGAATGAAACAGAAATGACAGCAAGCATTTGTGTTGGGCATGCTAGTATACGTTTCTCTCAGTTCGTAGTTTAGTTCGTTTCGTGCATAGCGTTTCAGGAGTTTATGTAGAGAGGTGTACCACTCAAGATCAAAAGCATCTGCCGACTACAAAAGGCTATACCAATTTTCTATATGTGATCAAGTTGTCGTGCTTCCAGCGACAAAAAGGCAGGACTGGATCCGGCAGGCGGCAGTGCGGATCGATAGAGTTGACGATTCAGCTGCAGATAAATTACAAAAGACAGGATGTGTTTGGCCTTTCCATTGGTCTAGTGACTTCATCTTCCATATATAGAGGAGGGTGGCCCGGCGGATCTCATATGTTGAGTTTCGGGTAGTTGAATTCCAGGATAATAATCGTGAGTGGTATAATGGTTGTGGCATATTTCTAATACAACTTTCACAATTCTAGGGTTATAACCCTCGCATGTGTGCGGCGTTTGCCAGCTTCTAATGTGTAGGGGGGGGGGGCGGTTGGACCCCCCCCCCCTTGCCGTTTGGCCCCTGATCGAGCTAGAGCTTCGCGGAAAAAACGAGCGTGTTGCCCGTGACGAGAGGAAGCCGATGATACCCAATTTTAAGGTCCTAGGTCATTGATTGACCTTCCAGGTCAGGTCAATGACCCAAAGTCGGGAAAATCGGGACCTGTTAGAAAGTCGTAAAGTGTGGCTGCTAAGGGGTTTTTCGGGGTGCTGATCACGAATATCGTGTTAGTTTTGATCACAGATGATGTCTTGAAGCATTTAGACCAGGTCGGGTCAGGTCAGGTCAGGTCAACCAGTAGGCGTCGTGACGGGTATTCGTAGTACATGTCAACCGCCTCTGACAGCTTCGTAACATGTTACGAAGTCACCAAAACTACTTCGTAAATGTTCAAATGGTTGCTAAATTCGAATTCAGCTCCAAAAACTAGCCTAGAAACATGTAAAACTCGAAAAAGTGACCCGAGGTCACCCGAGGTCACCAAAGGTCAATGACCTGACCTGACCTTCAGGTGACCTTGACACACACGGGAGTAACATCAAATCACATGTTTGAACGCTTGAAACCACGAAAAGCTTGCAAACACGCGGCTAGTGCGAGCCGACATACGCGAAATCGCGATTCCGGCCAAACATGGTCTTGGAAAAGAGGTCACAGGTCAAAGGTCATTTGGGTCAGGGTCATGAAATTTTCAGGGTAGGTGTAAAATTGATCAATGCGAGGGTACTGAAAATTTCGTCGCGATCGGCCGCTTTTTACGCGAGTTATTCGCGAAAAACCATGGGGGGGGGGGTCCATCCGACCCCCCCCCCCTACACATGCGAGGGATAATTTTGATGAGACTTCTAAAATATAAACAAGTGTGTGATTCTTGTATCACTCTTGGCTCTAAACATTTCCCGCTCACTTAACCCGCGCCCTGGTGGGGGGGGGCTATTTTTTGCCCCCCCCCTCCAGACTTTTTGATATATCTCCAGAACCGCTGCGCCGATCGTCACCAAACTTTCAGTACCCTCCCGGACATCAATTTTACACATTGTGACCAAAAATTTTTCCAAAGGCTATGATAGCTTGGCCGGAAATGACGTCAGAGTGACGTCATGTTCTGCCGTTTTCGACCCAAAAAAGGGTTTCGCGGGAAGAGCTGTCAGGCCTATAGCTTTGCAAATACAGAAAAATGATAAAGACATAAAAGCTGTAGAATCAACAGGGCTACAAAACTGCTATCTCGGATTTTTGAAATTTTTGGATTTTGACCCCAAAAAATCAAAAAATAAATTTTTTGCATATAATAATCGAAAAATCCAAAAAGTTTTTTGAATTTCGCAAAAACCGGAATATATGTGATAGCCCTTACCGCCTTCCATCCACATACCAAATTTGAGATCGATACCTCTTTTTTTGGCGAAGTTATAGCGAAAAAACTGTTTAAAATTGATGACGTCAAATTTTCAAACTCAATTTTTAGCAATTCTAGACCTTGTAGCGCAGAACAAAGACCACCATTAGACTCCCCGTGACGAGCTGCATCGAATCAATGCCCATTTTATGCAAAACTATCAACTTTAAAATTTGACCTTTTTTGGCCTGACCTTGACCTGACCTTGACCTGAACTACACCAGAAAGTGACCTAAGCCGTACCTGATAGTCTTATAACCAATACCATTGAGTTGGAAATGAAAAATTGGCCATAAAACATGCATCACACAACCTTAGTAAAGTTGGGCTCATGTGACCTGACCTGTGACCCTTGGTGACCTGACCTGTGACCTGACCTGGTATTGTCAGTGACCTCTAATAGTAATATATCTACTAGGCAACTGACGCCCTATCGCTGATTCTCGACAAAATGCGTTTTCCTCGGTGTTATAGCGCATTCCCTAGAAGACCCGTGAACGGTGAAACATTTCATCTTTGACCTGACCTGTGACGTCATCGGTGACCCCGAGGTCAATGAAATTTGGTTTTCCTCGACAAATTTGACAGGCCTTTCGAACGCCGTTTGAATTTTGCGGATCCGTCCAGTAGTTTCGGAGATACGAGGGGGGGGGGGCAAAAAATAGCCCCCCCCACCAGGTCGCGTTATAAACAGACCCCACCAGGGCGCGGGTTAACTAAAGGTGGGACTAAACCGAGCAAATTCAGTGCGAATGTAAGCAGCGCCCTGGTTTGGGGTCGTCGATTGCCACGTAACTGAGTTGGATGCATTAGAACGATGGACAAGCATTCACTAGAAGAATAGAACACTTGTGTGCCTGTGAGGGAATCTACCCGTATATTGATCATGTTGAGTGATTATATTTGATGGCCTGCAAGCTGAGATCGCGGAATATGCTCCACGCACCGGGGGGCTCCCACACCAATGGTAGCATACACACAATAAAATGATATATTTCAGCCGACTGAGACACAAACACCAAACAAAGCTGACAAGTGACAACTTGGTGTCGTAATGTGCACCAGAGCTCGCTGGATCGACACGTCTCGTGTCAAACCCCGGACACACATGATTTACTCGCTAACCAGCTCGGTCTCAATTTGTAGTGAATCGAGCCACAGCGGTATTGCGATCGCTTTAACGATCACGTCCCGTCCATTGCGGCTGTGTGCGCTTCACCACATCACCCGCAAATGAGGCGGCATTCGCTCGCCGTTGTGGCGATGAAGAGGGTTGTGTTGAAGCTGCGCCGCTCTGCCGACGCTAATGAAGACGGCGTGGTGAGAGTGGGGACCGACCGCTTCTCCGCGAAGTGCCGCCTCCTGGAAACGTACCGTGGAGAGCAATTAATTTCTAGAGCTAGCAATCGGCACGTGCGATAGAAATTAAATGAAGCCGTGTGACAGTACAGAGCGTAGTGCATGTACGGCAGTGAGCAGGCAATCAGCGACGTAGGGAAAGTTTCCCACAGCCCACGCAACTGAACTCGGCCTTCAACATAGGCGGCGGAACGGTGAGGGCACCGGGGCACCGTGCCCCCTTTGATTTTGGCATTTTTATATTAGCCCAATGGGCGTTGCATGGAAAGAATGGGACCAAAAGTCGGCAGTGCCCCCCCCCCCTTTAACCAGGAGCCTGCCACTAATAGGGTTAATTGAGGTGTTCCGCCGCTACTACCTCCAATATGAGTTGGGTGGGGCGCAGCTACCGCTGCTGATGGGTGGCGGGGGGGGGGGGGGGGCACTGGCTAGCCAGGGCGCTCCGACGCTCATCCCTAGACCAAGCTGCTAGGCCAGACCTGCGGTGCAGCCTGATGCAAAATGGCGGCAACTTGTTACAGCATCACGCGCACTGTGCATGATCGTGTACGAGCGCTCCACCCGTGGTCATTATTTCTTCTTCACGGTCGATGTGCTGCAACGAAAATATGACACGTCTGTTTACGCAATTATTGCGAA